ATATTAAATTAATAAAAAAAATTATTTTTATAAGATGTTGAATTTCTTTTTTAAATCTTTTGAATAATTTTCTTTAAATAATAATAGATACAAATTATAGAGAAAAAAAAGAAAAAAAATTTAATTGGGTCAACCCGCGAGTTGACCCGTGACCCGTGATGGGCGGGTTAGGGTCTACCTTTATTGACCCGTGACCTGTTTTAACCCAACCCGTTTTAACTCGTTACCCGTTCTGACCCGACCCTAACCCGACCCAACCCGCCCGTTTGCTAGGTCTAACATCATTTAATAATTTTTCGTATGGTTTGTATTTTTTAAAACTAAATAAGATCTAATGTTTTATTTATGTAAATTATGTATACTAAATTTTGTTGTACCTATGATTTTGATGATTACAAAACACATTTGAGTGACTAATTGGTTCATTGAAATGTGTAGTTAAAATGTCAAAAGATTACAAAATAAGTAAGCTTGGACTGCACTTAAAAATGGACCAGAAAAGCTTGAATATCTGCAAAGAGCCGGCTCTTGAAAGCTACAACCGGCTCTGGTGAAAAGAAAGTGCAAAGAGTTGGCTCTGGAAGCTGCAGCTGGCTCTACGGGCAAAAATTTGAAGACTGTTGCTTGGCACGCGTGGAGAAAAGACGCAAAGCAGGCTCCAACTTTGCATCCGGCTGTGAGAGCGCATTTAATGCATAACGGTCGACTCTTTTGAAGAATATTTAATGTATTTAAAGTTGGAGTTCCAAAGCTGGCTTAATGTCTTGCAGCCAGCTCTCGAGAAAAACATAATGGGGTGCAATCCCGGAAAGTTGACTGCAGAAATGGTGAGCCGGCTGTACAGAGCCGACTCTAGGAAGTTAAGCCGGCTCTCCTGACAATCCTGCAAGTCGAGCTTTGCGTCCTGTAGAGCATTTAATGACCCCCAACAGCTAGAAACGGCTATATTCAAGCAAGGAGCTATAAATATGGTTGGTAACAAATTTGAAGAAGTTTAGAGAGCGTTGTATTGAATATCTTTACCTATCAACTTGTACTTTAACTTGAGATTTTGATCTTTAAAAGATCTTTATTTGTAATCCTCTTCTTGTTCTATTTGTGAGTAATCTTAGGGGTGTGACTATTCCTTCAAGAATGATTTGTAGAGAGGATTGTTTGAGTTTATCTTGTAAAGGGGTGAGATTTGAGAGAAACACTCTTATTCTTGTAAAAGGATTGAGTGGCTCCTTTAAGCCACCCTTATTGTTGTTAGTGGAGAGTGTGGAGGAAATCCTTGGTGAGTGAAGCCAAGGTAGAGGATTAGGCTCCAAGTGGTTGGACCGAACCTCTATAAATCATTGAGCAAGCTCTTCTTCTCTACTTTCTTTAATTTTGGTTTTGTGGTTGCAAAAAGGAGAAAATTTTTGGAACTCCAATTCAACCCCCTCTTGGAGTACATTGAGTCAACAAATTTCAATTCAATTAGATATGTTTAACTATTTCATATAACACATAATCTTGTACTATTAAATGCATGATAGAAAATATAATTTTTTGTTTGTATAATTACAAATATCATATCACTTTAAAATTTAGTAGATATAATTTAAACAAATAAAACATTAAATTTAACAATTGATTTGACAGAATACAAATTATATGAAAAATTATTGGCCAGTATAAAGTATGATAGTTATATATATATATAAATTTGAGTGTTGGGGGTGCGATTTCAACTTTACACTTGTTAAATTTTACATAAAAAGTTCTTTACAATAAAGATGTCGCCACTAAATTATGAGAACGTTCTCAAAATATAATAATTATATTAATATAAAATTGATCCTAAATTCAAATAAATTAAATAAGTTATGAATGTATGGGAAATTTCTAAGAGGAAACTTCAGTCGCCAACTTTGAAGACTTCAATAGTGTTCTAATGAAGAAGACTTAAGATTCCAATCCAATCATAATCTTTAAACTAGCTACCTACTTATTTCCAATTTTGAAATTTCTTTTGTAGACTTGTATTTATCAGTAGTCAACTAACCATGTTCCTATTGCTAGACAAATTTTGCATTTCTTTATTGATAGACTTTGTGAAGAATGACACTTTACTGGAAAATTAACAAATAAAGATAAGAGAATGCTTAAAACTCTTTATGCTAAAAAACAAAAGTCTTCTTAGTGGAAGAAATTTAAAGGACTATGATTGATAAATTCATTTCATAGTATATTTGGTTTGAGGAAAATAAAGGGAAGGGGAGGTATGACTTTTTCAATTAATTAAAGTTATAACGTTTTTAAATTGTAATTTAATTAATTAAAAAAATCCATCCCTTCCCCCTTCTCTCAAACCAAACACATCTTTAGTTTTTGGAATCTACAAAATTAAGGTTACATTTATGGTTGTTAACCTAGAGATCAACATTAACTAGAAGATATTCACTTCATGAATTGAGATTTCAATCCAACTATATTTTTCAAATTTGATAGCTACTTATTTCCAACTTTGAAATTTCTTCGTATTCAAAAAATTTTGAATGTTATTTTCTGAATTAAAGAAATTTGAGAGCCTTTGATTAGATTCATCAACTAGAGTTGTCTGTAAAGTATAAAAAACTTCAAGAAAATATGTGCATTTTTGCATGTGAGGAAGAAATTTCTTGGTCCTTTTCGCACAGCTAATTGATCTAGAAATATAAGGAATGGCATAAAATTAAATAAATTACATAAGGTAGAAACCACAATATTATTTTCTTTGTCTAAAATAATCGTCT